CAGGTGCTGAAGCTGGTAACAGACCTTCGGAACCACTGGGCAACGGTACTGATGTCTGAAGGCCACCCGCTGGTGATCAGCTCTGATAACCCGTCTCTCTTTGTCACCACAGGCATCTGCTACAATTTCTATCAAGCCTTTGCGGGTATTGGAGGGTTAAAGGCAAAGCTGGGCACTCTGAAAGAACTGGCTGTCAACTCTATCAGGTCAGAATCTGCTGATTTCTCTTTCTCTCATATAGATCAAGCATGTTTTGAGGATACATTTGCTACTTTTCATTAGTTTTCTAGGATAAGCCTGGTGATATTTTACATTTGTTATTGTAAAAAAGAATGTCATGAAAAGACCAAAGCCATCATTCTGCTAATATTCATTACTTGTTTATCCAAATCCTGATCTTATTCGACCTCTAAATCCCCAAATTGCTCCCAATGTGTATAAAACTGAAATTGAAAAAAGCAGCCAATATAATTTAATTTAGTTAAGAGCAGTGTCTCATTAGAAATATATAATTCAGTGATTCCTGCTTGAAATGTAGCACAATAATTTAACTTCTTACAAAAACCATTTGTGACAAAATAATTTTATGATGAATTATCTCAACCAAGGTTGTTCTCATTTTAAAAATGATTGTAGGTGAATGTAGAAAACTATTAAACAGTAGGTTTTGAGAGCAGTAAAGAACAACTTCTAGTTTAGTGATTCAGAATTCCTTTGTTGTACACTTGCACAGAGACATTGGCATGAACCTCTTCAGTGTGAATAAAGAGTGAATTAATCAATCTGTTATCAGTTCTACTTGGACTGGCCACACTGATGCTTTTAGTCAAGTAAGTCCATCTTAGTTTTAAACAATAAACTCATGGTAAAAACAAGTGCACTCCACAGGGAAAAGGAGTCAAAATAGAGATTTTTCACTCTGAAACATTTCTGTGACTTACATGGATGAGCACAAATAAGTCTGTGTTTAAAAAAAAAGGAGTGAAGCTTTCTTATAATGGATTCTAAAATGATACCACAATGTCCTGAAAAGTTTCTTCTGTCTGCAGGTACAGCTCACTCCCAACTCCCCCGAAGGACGCAGCTCTCGTCATGTGGCAAAACAAATGGGACACCTTCACAGCTGGCAATGTATGACCACTGAAGCACAATGGATCCTGTTGGACTTGTTTGTAATAGTTGAAACTTAACTAAAGCCAGCATCTGTATGCAACTGGCAGTCTTTTACTCAATGCCAAGACCTTCCATGGAACTACTGTTTTACAAAAGGCAGAAAATGGTGATTCATATTGTCACAAAATTACCCTTGTCAAAAACGTATGGTACAGAAGCAAGAATTAAAAATGATCACGTCACCTGGTGCAAAACAAACTCACCTCTAACATAAGACAACTCACTCCCTTCTGCATCTTTCTCTGTAGTCTGTGCAAAAATGTCATGTGCTCACAGGTCATTCAGTAGTCTCAGGTATTGTATCCTCCAGCTCTGACCGGTACACTGCTGCACAACAAGTTTGTAAGAGCCATCTCCACCTTCTGCAACTTCCAGACATCTCTTTGTTTCTCTGTTCTGGATGGGTCCGTTCTGAGAATAAAACATGTCAGTGGCATTTCTCTTCCTGTCCACACCATAATAAAACACTTTGTATCCCCCTCCAATGCTACGCGCTTTGCTACCCTTCCACCTGGTCTCCTGCACACACAGTATATCTACCTTCCTTCTCTCCATCATGTCCACCAGCTCTCTACCTTTCCCTGTCATTGTCCCAATGTTAAGAGTCCCTATTCTCAGACCTATACTCCTGCCTTTCCTCTTCTCTCTGTCTACGAATCCTTCTCCCTCCTATGCTTCTTCGACCAACAGTAGTCCAATTTCCGCCAGCACCCTGTAGGTCAACAGCACTGGTGGTGGTCGTTGTTAACCTGGGCCTCAACCGATCCAGTATGGAGTTCACACTGATGATTCACATGTTTGAATTTGGCATGTTTTTACGCCGGATGCCCTTCCTGACGCAACCCTCTTTATTTATCCGGGCTTGGGACCGGCACAGAAGTCACTGGCTTGCAACCCCTGTGGCTAGATTCCTTGATTTACTATAAATGTAGGACATATTTCCTATTTTTGTATTTCTTGGTAATCTTATTAGATTGAATGCTATCATCCTTTCCCCCAATTTTTGTAGTATTTTAGACAGCCAGTATTTTTGCATCCAAATTCTGTCCTTGACATCTTTCAGCAGCCAGCAGCTTGTTAAACCTTCCCTGTAGGTCTGCCAATAAGGGACCTGGTGCCCCAAGGTAATTCATTATATTACTGAAATAATCTGAGAAGATCCACTACATTACTGTCACTACTTTGTTAATTTTACTTTTTGAGGGTTTTTTTTTAATCAGTGCATCTCAGGTGCAAATTATCAGTTGTCTTTTTGTTGTTCTTTTGACTCTGTATTTAAAGTGTGATAAAAGATGACATCATGCTCCCTTTTTAACTGTTGCCTTTAGCCTTTTGCATTTATTTTTGGTTTAAGAACTGTAACTTGTAATAACATCAGCTGTAATGCCTGGACACTGAAAAAACTGTATGGTCACTTTAAAGCTCCAAGAGTCATACTATTAAGACTGATGACTCCTGGGGGTACCATCAGAAACTGGTATACAGGTCAATGTTACACGTGGCCAAAGAAGTGGAACAACAGCCAGCAGCAGCCTAAACTCAGATGTTTATTGCAGTAAACCCAACTTAATGTATCACTGCTACGACTTAACCAGAAGATGTTACATTTAAGTTAGTGCAGCTTGAGTTATACAGTATATTGAATGTTATGTTTGTTCTTATAAAAGCTAAATTAACCTGCTGGGTTTTTGAAAGGAGTTTGGTCATTTATCAGAAGAAGACACGAGTTTATAAAGCGAAACAACGTGCGCTGTACTTGGTGCTGAAGAGAAGAACCCTGAACAACTTTGGACTCCAGAATGTGAAATGTTGACCTCAGCGTTGGCCCCGTCCATCAATAACAATCTGCAGAAACACGTTTCACTTCATGTAGTTTTCACTACATATTTATTTCAGTTACAATTTTTATGAATTAAGATTTTACACAAAGTGTGCTTCAGAAATACCTGATGCTTCTTTGACATTAGTTTACATTTCTATGCTTCTGCACAGGCGACAGCCGTGGCTGAAAAATAATTCTACATGGTGTCAACCTGTACACTTGACCGTACAATTCAATTCATTTGTTTAGCACCAAATCACAAGTCATCTCAGCACACTACATAGTAAGGTCTAGATCTTATCAGTACAGAGAAAACCCCAACAAATCCCCCTTGTGCAAGCAATTGGCGACAGTGGAGAGGAAAAACTCCCTTTATCTGACAGACCCCGAATAAAGGTGGGCGGCCTTCTGCCTCGATCGGTTGGGGTGAGTGGATAGTTTTCATAGTCATCACTCCTGTCATTCTTATCATGGAAAATAAGGCAAATACACTCAAAGTGAGTGTCTCAGAGCTTGTTTAGTCATCTGAGTTGTCCGTCTCTGTCAGGCTTGCTCCCTCCCAAAGACACACCCTCCTGGTCTGTATCTCAGCTACCGCGCAACAGAGCTTTGACAACAATCCCATCTATTTATGAAACTGCTAAACGTATCCCTACATCAGCGACAATACTTTACAGGGGTAGGATACATTCCCCTGCTGGGAGGCATCCCATGTCCGCAAAATCTAATAAGCATACGAAACGCAAAACCTTCCCTCCCCCAGCCTAGTTGAAGCGCGAGTCTCCCCTTGAAACTTGGCAGAGTGAGACAACTCAGAAATTTAACCCTAAAGTAAAATAAAGTTATTAAAATCTGGGCAGTGATGATTTAGAAAACACCATGACTACACTTATCAAGACAGGTTTACAACATGTCACAGCACAACTTCATGTGTATGGAGAATCACTCAGTTTAACACAGAATAGATGGCCATGTTGGACTGACAGGAAGTGAGAGAGAGAAAGTAAAGTCCCTTCAATACTTCCTTTATGAGTGTATCTGGAGGTTCTAGAGCAGCAAACTGGTCCCACATCACGGAGGTCGTCAGATGGTTAGTGACCGAAACTCCTCCACCTGGATGATATGAGAAGCAAAGACAGATGTACTCTAAGTTGCCATGGCAACCATGTTGAACAGAAACAAAAAGCCTCGCCTCATCAGTTCTCACACCTTATGAGCATCCTCCCATGTAGCCACACAACGACCAGCACTGCTTGTTGTGGTGTCTGTCACTCACCTGTATGAGGCACTGAAGGACAGGACTGTCTAAACAAAGTTTAGTGCTTTACCTTTTTAATCAGATGCTCATGGCTCCTTTACTTTTATGGACAGACGAGAACATGCAAACAAAAGATGAAGAGACGAAGTGTACATGGACAGAAACTGAGACAGACAAACATAAAAAGACAAAGACAAATGTAGATGTGCAGACAAACAAAGAGTTTGCTGGACAAACACACAAATGGCGAGGTTCTTCAGAGGATCCCAGGTTTCAGTCCAGATTTGCACATAATCAAGTCCAGAGGAAAGGTTCATTCAGCTGCTGCCGCCATCTCATCCAAGGTGATGCTGGAGTTAAGTGTGTAGTTGACTGTGCTTCCCACAGCTGAGGGAGGGGGGTGGGGGGTGGGATCTCATCAGGTCGAGTCCAAGTCTCGGTACCAAACAGTCTGGTGGACAGGTCTATAGTCAGCGTCCTTAGGTCAGTCATCATGGCCCATCTGTATCAGGCCATTTTAATCTTATTGCCAATTTAAAGGAAAGTATTTTGGAACATCTGTATTTAAGTGATTTCTCCTCTTAAAGTATCTTTTTCTATTATGAGCTTGAACCAGGCTTTTGCAGCCGAGGCCCCGTCACCTCTGGAACTTCTATCAAATCACTTCAGTGTTTTTGAAAGGTCATTTTATATGATTAGCATACTTGTTTGGTTTAGAATCTAACATTTTTCAGTTGTCTTGATCTAATAACAGCTATTTTTCTAATTTAGTTTGATTTTAAGGCTTTTAGTAATATCAGTTCTTATTTAAAAATTCATTAATGAGCTAATGTGCAATTGTCTGAGTTTGAAAATATCCAAAGCTCACCAAACACTAAACCAGGCACCTTCAAAGCCCTGAGATGAAAATAAAGAACAGAAATGGAAGATAGAGACAGAGGCAGACAGGTGCTGCTGCAACAATGGAAAATAATAAAAATGAGACTTACAGTTTTGTTGATTTCCTGAAAATCAAAGTGTTATTGCAAAAATACACATTCAAGCAGATTAGCCAGAAATAGTCATGACACACAGGTCATGTTTTTGAGAGAGAGAGAAAGAATGTGAGACTGAGAGATCCGACATAACCTTTTGTAAACGGATGCGCTATGTTGACCGAGGAAATCAGGACAAAAATAAAATCATTGTGGCATTGCAGCCACCTGGGGGGAGAAGTCAACCAGGTTGGAGAAGTAAGGGAAAGCCATGTGCCTTTTGTAGATCAATGTTGAAATGATGACCTGACACTTAACGTAACAAACCAACAAACCGGTGGCCATCTTGGACTAACAGACAGATCAACGGGCGGCAGTGAAATATCTTCATGAAAATGTAAGTAAATTGTTGTGGTGCAGCGACCACCTACAGGAGAGAAACCCAGGTTAAATAAGTAAAGAAAAACCATGTACCTTTCATAGATCAAAGTTGCTGAAATTCTTCAAATGGCCGGATAGAAGAAACAGAGCGAGCGATAAGAGATCAATCGCACTGCAGATAAAACTAAGAGTTTCTCCTAGGAGTTTTATGTGCCTGGCAGCCTAGATCTATGATTATTACACAAATCTACTTACAGATGACCACTTTCAGTCAGATGACACATGTAAATCTAAATAGTCATGGCAAAGCAGCCATGTTGTAAAAGAGAGTTGGGCATGGAGGGCCACTAAAAACCCCTGAGCTAAACACTCTAGATGCCACAGTAAACTCAGGACTTGTGGCTAAGTGACCACAACAAGACCCCTTTAATGAATAAACCTTTGGGGGCGCTGTCTGGTAAGGGATCCCACAATAAAGTAAAAAATAAATTGACTTACAGTTCATAAATCTACCTGAAAAGAGAAAAACAAATCAAATTTGTTTGACTC